CAGTGTCCCACCAGGGTGCCTCGGCGATGAGCAGCGTCTTCTGGAGCGTCATGGGCAAGGCCACCGTGAGCTGGTCGATGGCGTAGAGGTAGAGCGTGACCTCGTTGTCGTCGACGATGCCCAGCGCCAGCTCGGCCAGGCCCGAGCCCTCGTAGTTGCCCAGGTTGACCGCCACGGCGTGCGGCTGCCGCAGCGAGACCAGCGAGTGCGGCACCTCCGACACCATGGCCGCCGACGACTGCGACGTCTGCCGGAAGAGCGCCCACGAGACCGTGCTCCGATCGACGATCCATGCCACTGCCAGCTATCCGTTGGTCGCGTGCAGTGAGAAGCGGGAGAATCAACCAGCCCAGAGCGCGGCGGGCGCGGCGGCGGGGCTGGAGTGGGTGGGAGCGGGTGGGGGGGCGTACCATGGAGGGCATAGCGTTGACCTTGGCTGCGGCCAGCGAGTAGGAGAACCCGGCCGCGTCCAGCCGGCTCCCGCTCTCCACGCCGGCCGCCGTCGCCGCCGAGCCATAGAGCATGATCGGGTATCTCTGGAACGGCACCGGCACCTCGACCGCCGTGGCGAACAGGCTCCGCAGCTTCTCGCTCTCCGCAAAGCACCCCAGGCATGGCAGCAGGTCCTGCATGCTGGTCTTGGCCACGCCGCTGCCCCACACCTCGACTGACTCCATGCGCAGATCCCACATGAACACGTGCAGTGCGCCGGTGTTGGCGTCGAGGAAGCCAAAGGCCAGCTCGGGGTAGCCGTCGTTGTCAAAGTCGCCCGTCGCCATCTCGATGTGCCCGCCCTCGCCCAGCACCACCGCGCTCCCGCCCACGGCCAGATCGCGCACCACCACCGTCGTGGGCTCGCTGTTGGAGCCCACCCACGTGAAGGAGGCGTGCAGCGCGCCGCCCTCGTATCCGAACAGGGTCACCACCTCGTCCTTCCAGTCGTTGTCCAAGTCGGCGCTCGCGCTCGCCATCACCATCTTCTTGCCCACGGCCGGCGTGTCCGTGTGCTTGAACGCCGCGTTGGCATCTACCCTCCATTCCCACCCCCCACCGCCGCCACCACCACCGCCATTAGTGCACCGTTGTTATTTGTTACGGGAGCCGACCCACCATTCACTTGAGCGCGCGACACACACACACACACACACACACACACACACACACACACACACACACACACACACACACACACACACACACACGACGCATCCAACAACTACCAACAACCAACACAACTCACGCACCTTTGCACCGGGCCTGCACCATGAGTGCCTTCTTCACCCGCGGCTCCGAGCTGCACTCCATGCTCAGGTCGCGCGCCACCACCACCACGCTCCCGTTGTTGTCGAGGCGCGGGCGGAAGAAGGGCTCCGTGTGGTGGCGCACCATGGTCGACTTCAAGTAGTGGTCCTCCGTGCCGCCATAGGTCACCGGCGCCATGTGTGCCTGCGCGTGGTGCTCGCGCGACTCGTACAGCGCCTGCCGTCGCGTCGACCGCTCGGCCCGCAGCGACCGGTCCTCGCGGCACTCGACCTGCTCGTCGGCGCACAGGAACGGCTCGCCCTCGGTCTCGCCATAGAGCGTGTCAACGGCGCGCACCGCACACGACGTATGGCCCACGCACGCGCTCGCCACGCGCTTCTTGACCGTGGCCGCCGAGGCCTCGCACGCGTCGTGCACCGTGAGCGGCTTCATTGTGGCGACATCCTCGCACGAGCCCTCGATGCGGCCGTAGCGCGCCCACACGATCTCCGAGATGATGCTGCCGACGGGGCATTCGAGGAACACAGTGTCGTCGTCGGCGGCGGCACGCGCGTACAGCTGCCCTTGGCCGAAGCCGCAGATGGCCTCCGCCCCTGCACACCACCACCACCACCACCACCACCACCACCACCACCACCACCACCACCACCACCACCACCACCACCACCACCACCACCACCACCACCACCACCCATTAATCACTGCTTTTCTTATTTGCATTTTACAAATACGCCAAGAGAGAGAACCCACTAATTATTAAATCAATAATAGGAAAAGATGTGGAAAAGATGATCGAGGTGTTAGGCGGGGTTGGGTTGGGTTGATTTCGTTGAAGCAGATCCTGCCCGGTACATACAGGCAGAGGGGGGGGTTGAGGTCCAGGTGGGGTGGGGGGGGGTGAGATACCTTGGAAATGGAGGCAGTTGTCCGAGGTAAAGTCGAGCCACCAGTCGCGCACGAAACCCGTCCCCGTTGCGTTATCCCTGTGTTCCACGTTGAGATGCCAGTCGGCCCGCACGGGCCGGCCCGCCAGCGAGCCCAGGTCGGGCACCGTGCTCACTGTGAATTGCTGTGGCGTGGTGGCGCCTGCTGCATCGCCCGCCAAAATCAAACACATCCATCAACCAACAGAGCAAAGAGAAGAAAAAGAAGAAATAAATCTCTCTGTGTGGGAGGCCATGATGAGAGAGAGAGAGAGAGAGAGAGAAAAGGGGACGTACTGCCAAAGTCCTTGAGGAGGACGGTGGTGCGCATGTTGGTGGCGCGAGGCAGCGCGCTCTGCTTGCCCTCACGCGTGAGCGTGATGCGGACGTCGTTGGGCGCGCTGTGCACCAGCACCACGTTGACCGTCACCGAGCTCACGCACTCGGTCTCGCCCACGCCCACGCTCGACAGGGCGAACTTGCGCGGCACGTTGCCCACCCTGTCCCACGACTTTATCGACCTTGTCATCACTCCTGCCGTTGTCGCCGACCCCCGCCCCCCACCGCGCGCGCGCAGCCGCATGCATGGTCACCACCACAGTGAGCGACACAAACTGCACGGCACCCTCCAAGTTTGCGCGCGGGGAAGCGGGTACCGGCTTTGAGCTCGTCGGTGTGGGAGTCGCAAAAGTAGGGGTCGCTGATGCCCTGGGCGTGCACCATGTGCACCGAGCCCATGGACACCTCCGACGGCCCGCTCTCGAAGGCCACGCTCACCGTCTGCCGCTGGCTGAACCACCGGCCCTCGATGCGCTCGAACAGGGCCTCGAGCACGCCCAACCTGTCCGCCGCTCCCGTGTTGGGCGACACCTGTTGTGTGGTCACCGTGGTGTGAGCAACGGTTGGGTGGGGGTGGTTCAGAGAAGGTAAGGGGACGCTGCGGCGGCGGCTGCGGCGGCGGCGGCGGGAAAAGGAATGACCGTTTGGGCGAGGTTCTTGTCGAAGAGAGGAAGCGCAGTATCGCGATCGCGCAGACTCTCGGCCCACGAGATGCTCGACGGCAACATGGACCGCACCGGCAGCGTCATGTCGCCCAGGCCCTTGACCTCGAACGCCAGCCCCGTTTGGGTGAGCTGCACGAGCTGGGTGGCCGCGCCGTCAAAGGCCACCACGTGGGCCAGGTAGGTGCCGGCAAAGTCGAACGACACGGGCAACTCGTAATAGGCGCATGTCGGGTCGCGCTCGCTCTTTGCTCGGCACGCCGAGAATCTGAACTGCTTGGCCACGCCTCCGTTCACCCCCACCTATTTCATTATTATATCATATCATGTGTTGTATGTTGTGTCGTGTCGTGTCGTGTCGGGTGTGGCGTGTGTCAGTCATTCATTTGTACATGTTCAGGTTTTCCAACTGGTCCCGGGGGGGGGCAGCCGTTGGAGAGAACAGAGAAGAAGGCGTGGGCGAGGCAAACCTGGGGCTGGCGCGAAGGGCCTGCGAAAAAGTCGAGGAAGAACAGGTCGGCGTCCTCGCCGCCCACCCGGTTGTTCCCGTCCGCGTCGCACAGGCTCACGCGCGCGCTCTGCTCGCGCAGCACCCGCATCTCGCCCCCGTCGGCTTCGTTGCCCACGGCCTTCACGATCGAGCTCGCCATGTCGAGCGGCCCGTAAAGCGCGAAGGTGCCCTTGACCTTGGACTCAATTGACCGGTTCCCAGCACCAGGGTTGGACTTCCACCAGACGGCCACCGTGAGTTGCGACCCGATGATCTTGGTTCCATTGGCACGCACGTAGTCCGCCAGGTGGTGGGCGGGCATGATGCACAGGCCAGAGATGGTGAGCGAGTCCGACTGGGCCACAAATCGGCCGTCATAGGGCGTCACCTTACCCTCCCATACGTCGGTATCTCGATTCATGTTTCCCGTCCTGTGGTGGTGGTGGTGGTGGTGTTGGTGGTGGTGGTGGTGGTGGTGGTGATGTTGGTGGAAAATGATGACTATGACGGAGAGGGAGCCGAGGACGTACTCGACAGTGGTGGCGTGCGAGATCACGCATTTGGCCATCATGGACAAGTTGGCCCGGGGGATCACAAGGCCCACGAGGGCGATCACCGTTTCCGTCTCGCGCGTGTGGTCACCTCCCAGCGGCGCCGTGGACCGCAGAATCGGCTCCTCGTCACCATACTCTGCTCACCAACACACGCACGGTACGTAATTCATTATTATTATTATAATTCAACCAACGAAAGAGAACGTAAGAGTGAGTTGATGGGTGGTGATGGTCTGGGGTGGGCGGCGACGGCGGGGGGGAGGGGCACGAACCGTTTTCGCACCACTCTCCGTAAGCGAGCTCGGGGCACACGCACTCGACGTTGGAGATGTCCTTCGACCACCAGCAGGCGCCGCCATGCAGGCACTCCTGCCCGCACTTTGCGAAGCTCGTAGGGGCCGTGCGCGACAGGCCGAACCGGGTCTCCACCTGCACCTGCAGGTCGAGAGAGCTCACCATGGCCGACTCGGGCTTGACCAGGTTACATGTGATCTCCACCGCTGTAGCCCCCAAAACCCCCCCCACCACGCACCACGCACCACACAACCCACAAAACAGGGTTGAACTGTTTTAGAGAGAGAGGGAGAGAGAGAGTGTGTTCGTTGGCTTTTGGTTGTTGGTCGTGGTACCGGAGGCTTGGATAGAGTTGGCGATGCACGCAGTGCTGCCACCACCATCACCACCACCACCGGTGATCTGCACCACAGGCAGCTCCTGCGGGTCCGGGTGGAGGTCCCTGCCGGTGATGCGCAGCTTCGGCACGTTGTTGACCAGGGTGACCTGGGTTCCCATGATCCGCGGCGCTGCCTCCTGCACTCCCGCCGCCGCCGCCGCCCACAAACACCAGAGGCCCACACACACACACACACACACACACACACACACACACACACACACACACACACACACACACACACACACGGTGAGGAGGAGGAAGAAGGCAAACCCAGCCACTATCAACACCACTACCCGACATAGCATGACACGACACGGCCAGCGCCACGGCACGTGAAAAAAGAAGGAGTGGAGGGGGGGGCAAAGAAGGAGACTCGCGCGAGCGGGGGCGTTACCGACACAGTGCTGGATGCGATCTTGGTCACTCTGCCTTCGATCGTGGTGCTGCAGTACCCATCCCACGGCATGCTGTCCCTGTTTTGGAAGGTCATGGTCCTGGACCAGGTCTGTGTTTGGCCCGTGCTCATCGCGGGGAAGGTGAACTCGTCCTGCACGCGCTGCGACGGATCGTCGCCGTGGGCCCAGGAGCAAATCGCGCCGTCAGCGTCTTTCTCCCAGGCGTCGATCTTGATCGTCAGCTGCGAGCTCTGAGTCGTGAAGTCGGCCTCCCACTGGAGCGCTTGCTCCCACGGCAGGTTGTTGTCGCTGTTGCCCGTCACGCACATGCTCTTTCCGTCGACGATGACGTTCCACGCCCACTCTTCTTCCCCATCATTCCAGTCCAAGCTGCCGCGCCGCCCGGGTGGCAAGAAAGAATCAGACAGCTTTGCTATTTAAGTATGGATGGATGGATGGATGTATAGGTACCCCCCCTTCCGCACTCAAACAACACAGACAAAAAGGAAGGAAGGAAAGGAGAAGGGCAGCCTGTACTGTTGACACCAATAGGTAAGCTGCACCTTGGTGATGGTGACGGTGTAGTCGTCGGCCGCCGCTTGAGGTAACATCGTCATCAGCATCATGCTGCTGCTGCTGCTGAGAGCAAACAGCGCCAAGAGGGAGACCAGAAGCCCTTGCCATCGGCCAGATGGAACGAAAGGAGGCGGCCTCATCCCGTTTTCTCCGTTGCCGTTGGCAGGACCGAGGACTAAGTATTTACTTTTTGTTTGCTCTCTTCTGGTGTCAGAGGGTCTTTTCTTTCAGTTCAAAAGAAACGCCTGCTGCCGCGTTTCACTTCACTCGCTTCCTATTTTGGACACCACCTTCTTTTGTTTAATTCATTATAATTACTTATTATTATTATTTTGTTGTTTTAAATCGAGGACACCTGGGCACAGACATGTCGAGCTCCTCCTCTACTGCACTCTGATCAGTTAAAGAGAGGGGCGCAGGTCTCGAACGTGCCGTAGGACAGCTCGTCGTGCGGGGCAGTGCTGTTGCCGTAGGCCATCATCATCTCTTCGGCGTTGCACCGCCGGTCCACGTAGAACGCCGTCCAGGGGCTCATTCTATTGAATGAGGTCCACGTCCATGAGCAGATGGGACCGGGGGCCGGGATGCCTCCACACTCGTTATACATGGTTTCCGGGTCGCCGACATCAAACATCCCGATGACATAGCCGTCGCAGGTGATGGTGGCGCTGACCCAATTGCCGTCGTTGGCCATGAACCCGTCGACGGGGACGTAGTTGATCGCATCAAGCTTAACCGGGCTGACCAAGTAGTTCCTGCTGTCGCCGTTGAAGTTGATATTCACCGAGCAGGAGTAGTCCCACGTGCTGTTCGACGCTGATGTGCTGTTCGACTCTGACGTGCTGTTCGACGCTGACATGCTGTTCGACTCCATGTCCCAGGGTTTAGCAAAGGCCCAGAAGGCGAACCCGTTGGCATGCCAGCAGCAAGCTGGTCCGCAACCGGAGCCCGCGCAGATGGCGTAGGACGCAGTCACCATCATGTTGCTACTAACAGTTTTTTTCGGCAAGTAATGGAAATTGATGGAGGGTAAGAAAGCAAAGGCATGGTGCATTTTGAAGTTGTTCAGCAAAACAAGCTAAGTTCAGATTTTCTGGATTGTGTACATGTGCACAATAAACTTAGTATCAGCAGGTTGAACAGGTAGTCATCATGTATGTGTACACAATAAAATGAGTGTCCTGTTTTACAGTTTTTGTCCATGCTTGTCACCCTGCTACCACCAGCCAGGGCCAACAACAAGTAACTTTTGAAGCTCCTGCTGAAGGAGCTTACTGCCCCATTGCATATATGCTATTTTCAAAGCCCATTATGCTATGAAACTGCAGGACATTCTGTCACATACACATATGTGACAAAAGTGAGTGTCTAGATAGAAATGTATATTTTTTGGATGGATATATATTTTTGTCTGGTTAAATCCTAGCAGGAAAGGACCAAAAAAATGTGTGTAGTTGTTGCATATGTGTACACAACAAAAGTGAGTGTCTGGATAAATATTTTTTGGTTGGAAAAACATTTTTTGTCCAGTTAAATCCTAGCAGGAAAGGACTGGAAAAACATGTGTAGTTGTTGTGTACATGTATGCAACAAAAGTGAGTGTCTGGATATATATTTTTTGGTTGGATATATATTTTATGTCCAGTTAAAGCCCAGCATGAAAGGACTGAAAAAAACGTGTGCAGTTGTTGTGTACACATATGTGACAAAAGTAAGTGTCTGGATAGAAATTTTTGGTTGTCACATATATGTACATGATAGAAATTGGTCATTACAGACCTTGACTGATGGCCCAGTTACAGTGTCATGTCTCTCATAATGATGGTATTTGAATGTGCCATTTCTCAAGATGCTCCCAATTTTGTCTTGCTATTTTTAAATTAAAATCATTTTTGTGTTGTCAAAATGATTTATAGAGGCTTAAACTCACAAACAAAATCACTTTTCAAAATGACTGGACCTCTCATTTCATGACTGCAAGTTGAGGAAAATGTTGACATGATTCAATGAAATAGTTGATGGAGTTCATGTAAACATAACCAGCCAGCTGTTCATTGTGAATAATCATTGGCTGGATGGGGTCAGAGGCGTGTGGAAATGTCTCACACTTGCTGAGGATGTCTGACTTACTACCTCCAGCCGCCTTGACATCATTAACATTCTTGTTACAATACTTGTAATTCTTCATTGTAAATTGTAAATTGAGGTTGCTCTTTCACAACTCTATATATAAATGTAACATAAAATAATCTTTAAGTTAAATAATTGTAACATACTTTTGTGGTCTGTTCACATGGACACTTTTTGTCAGTGGACAAAGTGGCTAGACTTGATTATATAAAAATTGACCACATTGGCCAATGGACACTACCAGGTATGCCTGTCCTCAGCCAGTGTTCAATAAACAGAGGCACATTGCCTGTCAGCTTACTCCTCATTATCCAGTATATCCATGACATCTTATTCATGAGACTGTCCATAAATTTAGGTTACGATTAATTAATTAAAGATAAATATATGTTACATTATACACAATCAACAATTACCAATTACAAATTACAAATTTACCAATGAATGCAATTTACATGTTTATGCTGAAGCAGGAAGTTAAGGTAATCTGTAAACTCCTTGACTGTTCCCATATCTTGGCCAAAGTTGATATTGACAAGATGGGACATGCAATTAAGAGACTGCACAGATTAGAACAAATCAAACATTGGAAAATACTGGAAAGATGCACTTGGTCAACTTCATGCATATGGTTACTTTTACCCAGAACATCAAAAAAGAGTCCACTTCTTTGGTGCCCTGCCCTCTGAATCTGAACAAGTGATGATTTGTGAAATCATGATGAGTAATAACATACAAGGTTGAACCTTTTTAAATTCTTAATGGTAATAATCAAAATTATTTTTTGGCATTACACTTGCCTTACCGCCACTAGTTCCACTCAAAAGAATGAATCCCAATGCAGCTCTGGCGCCCAGGATCAAGGATTTATAATCTAGTTTGGGCAGCTTGTCCATCAATGACACTTTGTTTAATTAATTTAGATGTCCTAGCAGGGCATTGCACAGTTCCATCCTGCACAGTGCCAAACTGTCTCCTGCCAGTTTCCTCAATGTTCCATACGTCCAACAAAAAATGGCTGGTCCCCATAGAGTTTTTTTTGTTGGTGTGCACTGAGGAAGACAACCATGGACATTGAAGAATGGGCTAATAAATGGAAAACTAGACCATGTATTCATCTATGCATGGCTGTTGTGAACTCCAACAGCTGTCCAGAAGACACAGGTATGCTGTTCCTCCCCATCTGCAAAGGGACCCTTCAAGGCTGTGAAGGTCTCCTTCATCCTCCCAAACAGCCCCTCAACCCATGCACAAGTGGTGTGGATGAGCTTGTTGTTCTTCTTGTCCTCCTTGGTGAGCTGTTGGACTCCTTCCATGGTTGTAGCATCTCCTCTTGCACAGGCCTTGGGGGTCACAAACTTGACATTGTTGAGGGTGTTGCCCCATGAGAAGTGGTTGTTGCTGATGATGCTCCTGTGAGGTGTTCTTTGATCCAGTCTTGCTGTAGCTTGAGAAACTCGCCATCATGGAGCTTTGGTGTGTAGCCACCCCAGACTGCTTGAATCTTGCAGTTGGCATCTTGAAGGACCATGAAGTGCTGGGCTGGGCTGTTCTTCTTGAATGACCAGGAGGGATCCTTACATGAGATGGTGGACTTGCCCTCAAGCCTGAGGTCCATTGAGTCAATCCACAGGCAGGTGTCATGGATGATGCCAGTAAACTGATGATGACCAGCCATGTGTGCCCATTCCACTTGGTTGCCAAGTTGTGTCTTCAATTTCCCCCATGCCTTGAAGTGATGACAAAGGATATGGGTGTTGTGGTGAAGGGTACAGTTGCCCCCTTTGAGCCATGCCTTGACCATGTTGAACAGGTGATCATAGCTGATGGCGTAGAGGTCCTTGTAAAGGGCAAGCAGCACCCACTGACACACAAACATGCGCCCATGGTTCTGCCCCCAGAGGGCTGGCTGGCTATGCTCAGCAAATTGGATGATGTCCCTAACAATGTGCGCTGGGATGCAGCGTTCCACCTCCCTCATGAGTGCTGCCTGGGTGAGCTCCATTGCTTTCTTCTGTGCCCAGTCCTGTGTACTTATACTGCAAATTTTTTATTGGCGAAAAGTTGTTGATGGGGGGCCAACGTTTTGTCTGCAATGTACAGAACAATGTTGTTATTGGGATACTCAGAGTAATTTACATTTAAAGGTGTACTGATGGGGACTTTGGGCAACTCAATTATTTGAGCAGATGGCTCCTTAGGAGACTGGGTGTAGAAGGCTGCACAGTAGCTGGGATAGGCTGTACCAGACTTGACTTTGGCACAGTATCTCTTTGCCACTCTTTCCTCATCACTACCATTTTTTGCTGTTTATATTATGTGCACTATAAAAATTGAGCTTACTTAATTACTTACCATAAATTAATTACTTTACTGCGCTGGCTCATCATCAATAAAATCAGCCTGATTCTGGCAGTCTTCTTTCTGGATGTTTAAGGTATTCTGCAAATCCTCACCAGTTGACACAACCCTATTATGAATGTGTGCACTATGACCTAGCAGTGCAATAACCTCAGTACACAGCTTATCCACATTGAACTGTACCTTTGTAAAGTGATGCACTTAAGACTGAAGCTCAATTTTCATGTCTACACCACAAGACTGGATTGAATTAGCTGCCATGTCCCTAGCCTTCAACATCTTCAAAATCACATCAGGTGACTGTTCAAAATAAGTGTCAACAAAATTCTTGAATTTATCATAGTATGCTTGCTCAGTTGCACTTAGCTTTTCTACTCGCCTTACCCTGTGATTGGTGTTGATAGAGATGTGAAAATTGCTAGTGTGTAGGCGGCGCCCATTTGCAATACTGTTCTTTTCCCTTGGCATGATTGACAATATTGCAACTAACAAAAAAATTGGTGCTCAAAAATAATAAAATACGTTTTTGCCAATTTACCTTTCCATTACCCTGACACCATTAATTTACAGGTAATTCCAAATTACAAGCCTCTTACTCCACCTGTGATTAGAAAATAGTCCCACCAGAAAAGCCTGTGGAAACTGTGGCACTTATTCCAAATTGATAACCACCAAATGTATATGCTGCCAGTGCCTGATTGCTGGAAACAACAGTCATGTTTTGAACTGCAATGTTTTGTCCAGGTTGCACAAGTACATGAATCCATCCATGGAAATTGCCACTGTAAATAGTTGGAGAAGTAATGTAAGTAGCCTTTAACTCATAAGTGTAGATTGCTGTCACCTTGATTTTGGGGCTTATTCACAGTAAGCAGAAACTCAGAGGGTAAGTCTACATAATCACCAAGTCCCACTATTTCCTCAAAAATCAAGTCTTGCTTGTCCACAGGCAACACCAATGACATGTTTATTTTTTGCACAAAGTAATTATTGCAACTATATTATAAAGAACAGAAAAATAACACTTGAAAAATGTCAAATCAAAGAAGTATAAAAGGTAACAGTTTAGTGTCAAGTGGTACATCAGACATAACCACATCAATCATAGAGCTGCAAGCAGGGCTTAATGAAAATGACACCTCAATTATGGATATTAATACAGCTATTGCAACTCTTACATCTGGAAAGGAAAACAAATCAGAAAAGAATACAACAAATGGTTATGCTGGACTAATTGCCAGGGGACACAGCTAGTCATTTGAAATGAGAGGTCCAGTCATTTTGAAAAGTGATTTTGTTTGAGTTTAAGCCTCTATAAATCGTTTTGATAACACAAAAATGATTTTAATTTAAAAATAGCAAGACAAAATTAGGAGCATCTTGAGAAATGGCACATTCAAATACCATCATTATGAGAGACATGACGCTGTAACTGGGCCATCAGTCAAGGTCTGTAATGACCAATTTCCATCATGTACATGTATGTTACAACCACAAATTTCCATCCATACACTTACTTTTGTCACTTACATCATTGGAATGACCACACAACCCTCTTCCTCCCAACATATGCGCTGTGATCCTCAAGGGTGTCACATGTGCAGCTGGCCTTGACACATCAGTGTTCACCACCTGCATGTTCCACAAGTCAGGTGTGATGGCAGGCATCTCTGCTGGTGTTGACGTGGATGTGATCTTCTGACTGGGCAGATGGTGAGACCCCACAACCTTCCACTGTCACTACATAGTCACCACAATCCCCACCACCTACTCTGACATCCTCTTTGATGTCAATGATCCAGAGGACCTGAATGACTCCAACGACCAATCCTCCTTGGCCTCTGACAACAACAATGACAGCAACAATGCTACCATCTACAATTAACCACTCACCATCTCTGCAGTCAACAATGCAGAGAGCATTCCAAGGAAGGTAACTGGTGTTACTGTCAGGTAAGCTTAGTCATCTGATGAAAGGAATGCTCTCTGCATACTCCCCTACCCTCCCTCCCTCTACGCCTCGTTCACAAGAAAAAGACCCCATACTGGACTGTGTTTTAACTATTTATTCTTATTTCTTCTCCACAGTTAGCGGTAAAAGAAATAAATAGTTAAAACAACACAGAGAGCGTTCCTTTCATCAGATAACTAAGCTTCTTTATAATATAGTTGCAATAAGTACTTTGTGCAAAAAATAAACAGTAATGGCAGATATTGAAAATCAGGAACAGCCTGAAAGAAAACAGCATGAAAGCATGTGTCTTAAGATTGACAAGCACTTTTTGGCATTTGTTGTCCAAACAATTATTGCCTTTGGAGTAATAGCTTTTTCAATTTGCAAAGCTGAGTTAGCTGATGAGTGAACAGTGTAAACTTGCGGTCATTTGAAATGAGAGGTCCAGTCATCTTGCAAAGTGATTTTGTTTGTGAGTTTAAGCTCATAAAAATGGTTCTGACAACACAAAAATGGTTTTATGTTAAAAATAGCAAGACAAAATTGGGAGCATCTTGAGAAATGGCAGATTCAAATTCCACCATAATGAGAGATGTGATGCTGTAACTGGGCCATCAGTCAAGGTCTCATTAGTTTGGTGTGATGTAATGGGATAAGATTGGTGTAATGTGTGAGGCTTCATGACACTGGGTTTGCCAGTTCTTCTTTATTTTCTTTGCATGGTGGTGATTCATCATTGAGCACACACCAGAAAAACCCAGGAGGAGGAAGCTTTGTCTGAAGAATTGGCTACAAGGGAGATGTTGTGTGGTGAACCAAGGAGTTTATTTTAAAAGTAGGAAAGAAAGAGTTTTGTGGTCACTCATCCAAATGTTCAGAGTGGAAAGGGGAGTGTGACCCAAGGTCAGACATTTGGTCAATGTCAGAGTGGTGGGGAGGGCTTGTGTCCCTGCTCCTGGTCCTGGTCCTGCTCCTGTGGTGCTTGTGTCAAGATCCACTGTGCTTTTTCTGGTCACTCTGGCCACTGCTGCACCTGCAGAAGTGGGTTTAATTTTACTCAGGACTTCAGTTTCTCTTGCACAATGGTTCCAAGTGCAGGGTTGAAGAGGGCAGGGAAAGCTGTTGATAATATTGATAGTGAGTGATCAATTTTGTTGCATACACATACACAACAAAAATGAATGAGCTGGAGGAGCAGGGAGAAGGTTGAGAAGAAGATGGGGTACTGGGTGAGGGGAGTTGACATGCCACAGTCCAGGCTGCTGATATCCAGGATATGATGTCAGAGTGGTTGGAGTGGATGATGATGCTGTTGATAGCACTCATGATGACATTGGTCTCAGATTCATTTGGTTGCGCAGATGCTACCAAGATATGGTAGCTGAAGTTGAGATGGAAGCAGGCATGGAGTGGAGTGGCACAAAGTGGAGTGTGGTTGAGGATGCTTTGCAGTTTGGTGCTGGAGGTGTAGGCAGTAAGGACAAGTTGGTAGAAGACATGACCTATTGTTGGTAGGTGATCTGGTGAGAGGAGCAGACACAACAAATCAAAAGAATGAAATACATACGCAGTTGATGGACTTGAGGAGCAATGTGGACTCACTTTGGGTTGCCTCTTGATGATGGAGGGCTTTTCATAGGGGTTGAGCTTGGGGATCTTGGAGATGTCCTGGACCAGCTGGGACTCTGGATTGAAGGTGTAGGACTTGGCTGATGAAAATGGTGTAGAGACCTGTGTGAGTGTTGTGTATGTGTATGCAACAGGTTGTCAGTGTAATTCAAAGACAAGATAAGGGGAAATGGAAGCAATAAGCTGTTGCATATGTGTATGTGACAGAAGGTACCATTGTGTTGGACCCTGCTGGTGCTCTTGGAGTGGATGTTGGGAATGCTCCCTGAGATGAGACATAGCAGTTGCCAGGGGGTATTCTCATCAGCAAGGAGGTTGAGAAGAGCCCCCATTTCTAGCATGTTGGTTGTCAGGACAGCAGCAAAGCAGTCTGTTGGGTGAAAGAGGTTAGTAATCATACACATGTGCTTATTTTTAAAGAGCAAAGAATAATGTTGTACCTCATTGATTTGGATTGGTGAAACCCATCATCTGGTTCAGGTGGTGCTGATCCCACTGGCAAGTGGAGGAATCAATGGAGATGTCACACAGGACAATGTTGAAGAGCTTGGGATTTGAGCAAGTGACCCAGAGATGTTTGACACACTTGCACAAGTCCTTCTGGTCAGATCTGGTCTCCTCTATTGTTATTGCTGGTTTGAAAGGCTCTTCCATCAAGTTGGTGGATTTCCTCTTCCCTTTGGCCTTCTCTTTATGTTTCTCCTTTTCTTTCTCCTTTGCTAGTTCCTTCTGCTTCTCCTGCATCTCCTTTTGAAGCCTCTTGTTCATCTCTGTTAGGACGTCTTTGATCTTGATGTCTGGATTGGCGAGGATCTTGAGTAGTTTTGCCTTGTTGTTGGTGATGTACTGATCCTAAGATGAGGAAAGCAAACATTTATGTGAGAACATACCCACTCCCCAGTTGTCATGTTGTTCTGCAGGTGGATGAAGTCCCTCTCATTGTTGAGGTGTTTCACCACCTTTCTGGCCTTGCTCAGATTTGGCATACAAACTCTTGTGGTAAGCAGCCATTCAATGATGCTGAGGAACTTCTTCATGATGCCTGTGTAGTTGCAGAGATTCTCTTGTAGGGTCTTCTGTTCAGACTTATTGAGCTTCTGAGCTTCTGGTTGTAAAAGTGGTAGAGTTAGTATGTGTTTAGACTGGGTGGTGCAGCAAAATATGTGATTTTTTTGTCACATACACATATGCAACAAAAAGCAACAGATAATTGTACCATTGCACTGATGAGCTTCTTCCAGTCAATGGCTCACTTGCCTCAATTAATGGTCCAGAACTTGTCAGTGCACAGGGTGTCATGGTGCTGGAAGAAGTCCTCCCACTCATCCCTGTGAACAGCAGCCTCATCATGCATGTGGTTCTGGCCCCACACAAGGACATGGATGTTATCATCAGAGACATTGTTCTGGAAATGGAGAAATGGTATTAGTTGGTGGAGGGACACCCAACAACAATATCTGGAAGAGGCAAAACGTACATCTACAATGTCACAACACCACTTCAAAGACTTGCCAGGGAAAAGCTGCCTTGCTGTCTGAACATGATTATTGCCATCAATGATGCAGTATTCTGGCATTCCATCATTGAGGACACGCTCAGAGGGAGGAAGCTCTTGAACAAGCAGGCGCTCCATCATCAGAACACCCATTTCATTCATCAATGTAGTGAGAACTCTGCATCCTCAAGCAAAGGACATTCTGTCACATACACATACACAACAGAATGTTTGCTAATTTCTCTCTTCTTAGCCCACAGAGGAGGAACTCTCCATGCCTCCAGAAGAGGCCCTTCTCAAGCATTATAGTGTCCTCTGCACAGAACATGTGTTGATGAACACTGCAATAATCAACATAAAAACACACTTACCTCTGCTACTGAGAGCAGATCTTGTGACATCTCTGTGGCAGCAGTTGCTCCAGTAGTGCCACTTTTCTCAGCTTCTTCTTGCTCTTGAGTCTCAGGTATGGTGTGCTGAGAGTCAAGAATGAACTGCAATGATGTGAATATATCAGTGATTGTGATGTGTATGCATACAACAGAATACTCATGTATAATGAAGAATATACTGGAGAATAAGAGAATATGGGTGTATAGCATAAAAATATGTGGTATAATGTTACAACTTGCATAGTAACAGAATAATGCCATGAAACAAAATGGAAACATAACATAACATAGCTCTATTGTATTATATTCTGTTGTGTACACATATGCAACAAAAATGTATCTAATAATGCTAACAAGATTCTGTTGTGTATGTGTACATGACAGATTTGTCTCTTATAATGCTGATAATAATTTGTTGTGTATGCATATGTGACAGGAAGGTTAGTACCAATTCAGCTGGCTTTGTCTTATTCTTCTCCTCCTCTGCAACAGTTGCAAAATACTCCTACAATGGAAGATAAATAAATTCATTAATAACATTACTTTCATCAAGCTGAAACCACTATCAATGTACTGTGCACATGTTTTGAAGATCACCAAGGCTCTTCTTCTTGAGGTCACCCTCCTTCCACTTCTTCCACTGTGGCTGCTTGACCATCCACTTGGCAAGTTCACCTGCACTGCAGCATGTCATCACCATGGATGGAATGCCACTGGCAGACTGGGTAAGGTTGTCAGTTGTAGGAGTGTGGGAGGAATAGACCAGCTGGATCTCAGGAAGATGGGCCTCAGGGAGGTCCTGTCCTTGTCTAATCAGAAGAAGTCCCTTTTATTACCCCTTGGTAACATATGGGAGTTATCACTGGGAAAATCCCATTTCCCTTTGGGTTTTCCCAGGAGGATGGAGGTGAACTCTGGCAGCTGGCAGAACAGGGGCTCAGCCACATACCCCCTGACAAAGATGGAACTGTTGCAGTTCTGCCTCACAGCCTGTGGCTGTTGAGGTAGTCCTGGACAAGTTGATTGGCCTGTACATTGTGGCAGCTACCCATGGGTTGTCTTGTGTGGTGTAGCCAACCCAGTGCACCTTGTACTTGTGGCCATTCTTCTGGTTGTGGTGGTCAATGATTGCTTTGACCTCATATTCCTCCTCCACTTCAGGAGAGGGACTTGACCTCTTTGATCCCTTCTCCTTGTCCTTGTGCTTCTTGTGATATGGCTTCATGCACTCCATGTTGAGCTTGAAGTTGTGGCCTTTTCAGTGATGTAGCAAAACGACTTGAGGGGAGACTTGTTGGACAACATTGAATGGACCCATCCACTTCTTCACCAGTTTCCTCACATGGCCCTTCAAGGCCTGCCTGACCAGCACATGTTTGCCTGGCACATAGCTGCCCTCCTTCCTCTTGTTGTGCCACAGGACCATTTCGTTCTTCACACAGTCCTGTGCCCCAGCCACCTCAGTGTGGATGATTCATTGAGCTTCTCATAGCTCAGCAATCCACTCATCCAATAACTTCACACTATTGGACTGTTTGCAACTCCCCTCAAGCAGAGGAGCTAGTCACCCAAACAGGACCTGATACAGGCTCATGCCTGTCAACTTCTGGGGGCTCACACAGTACATGTCCAGCAGTAGCAGCACATAGATGTCCCATCATCAACTTGAGGGTCCAATTGAAGCACTCAACTTGCCTGTTCATCTGTGGGTGCCCCAGCATGGAGAAGCTCCTCTTGACGCCAAGTAATCTTGCCAGCTCTTGGTGAAGCTCAGCCACAAATTCTTCCTTGGTTGCTCACAATCATCTCAGGAGGTCCCCACCTCTCTATCAGGTCAAGAATGGCTTCCACAACCATCTTCACAGTTGCATTCAGTATCAGGAACACTTCAGGCCACTAGGAGAAGAGGTCTTGCATGACCATGGCGTAGGAGTTTCCTCTCAACATCTTGGGCAGAGGACCAATCAGGTCCAATCCCACAATCACAATGTTCAAATCAGCTGTAGTGGTCCCAACATTGGTCCAGCTTCATTCCTCTTCCCTGATTTCATTCCTCTTCCCTGATTTCATTCCTGGCAATTGGCTCTCTCAAGAGTGTGTTGCTGTTGGTGTGGACTCAACTGGCTTGGTGTGTGCAGCTCCTTTCAGCTCTTCAGTGGCCTTGCGCCGCCCACCACCTTGATCTTCTTCAGGTTGGTCTGAATAACTGGTCATCTCTGTCCTTCTTCCTGATGAGGAGAACTGGGGCTGCCCACTTGCTGTTTGAGCCTTGGGACATTCCATTGATCCCATCTGCTCAATGTGATTGTTGATCCTTGACTGCACTTATGGAGACACCTGGTGCGCCTTGGCCTGGATTGGTGTAGAATTGGTCAGCTTGATAGGGTGGGATGTGGTCCAACTGGCTCTGTGGTTCCAGCTTCATGTGGAACATGTCCTTGTTCCACTTGAGGAGGTTGTGTAGCCTGGCCTGGCCTTCCTTGTTGAAATTGGCAAGTTGGGCTTGCCAGCACAATCTTCACAAAGCAGCCTGCCACTCTGGAGTCAACCAGGAGACCAATCATTTGTTCTCCCAACTGAGCTTGGATGGTGGGTCCCAACCCACCCATCTTCATCTCAATGGACTGGAGCACAAGCTTCATGAAGCAGCCTGCCACTCTGGAGTCAACCAGGAGATCAATCATTTGTTCTCCCAACTGAGCTTGGACAGTGGGTCCCAACCCACCCATCTTCATCTTAATGGACATCATCTCAACCCTGGATTGACCAACTTGCCCAAGGATTTGTCCTTCTTGGATGATCCCTCCACTTGGGCATTTGGACCATCTATGGCCCTCTTTCCCACATGTCCAGCAGCTTGTCATAGGTGACCTTGGTGGCCCTTGTGGCCCCTCAGCGTCAGCCTGGTAGCTCTCATGGACAAGGTCAACCTAAGATCTGATTCTACAATCAAAGGTTATAAAGCTTGGCTTTCTGCTTAGTAACACAAACAGTTTCTAATATTGCTGTTGTGACAAAGGTCAGGTGTATTCCAGAATAAGTTAGCTTGCACACATCAACAAATGTGCAAACATGAATTTTAGACAACAGAGTGCTCATTAAAAAGTGACAGTGTCACTTTTTTTTTGGTGTGAAATGTACATGTGACAACTGAATGGCTGTGCAGAAATAAGGGTTTTAATGTACATGCAGAGTAAGTGATAGTTGTGAGATATGTACAGTGTGTCATTTAAGGCAGTGTGTTTGGCCAAAAGGGGTGCTTGTTGAGGTAGAGTAGGTGGACAATAAAAGAAGCTTTATTGTTGTGGAGGAGTGTTTCACTGGGGTTTAACCAAGAGACTTGCACTGCTTTCTTCCTGATGTAGAAGAGGAAGAGGAGGATGTTGAAGTGCTGGTCTTGGGTGGTGCAGGGAAAAGCCAGGGTGAGAGAGGAGTGCTTCAAGGTCAGCACATAGGGTGCTGAGGTCAGAATCAGAGAGGAACTTGGAGAGGAAGGAGAGAAGCCAGTTGGAGAGAGAGGAGATGTTGGATTCTGAGGGAATGGGGGTAGAGGTGAGGCAGATGAAGTTGCTGTAGAGGGCTGGAATAAGGGAAAGATAGTAGGAGGTAGCACTGAGGTGCTGGGATGGCTTTGAGAGGGGCTGGACACCACATGGTGGAAATGGGAATGTGCTGATGGGTGAAGATGAGGACGTTGAAGCTGCTGATGAAGGTGGTGGACATACAAAGGTGGTGGACATACCAGGTGCTCAGTGAGAGCATTGTAGTTGGTAACAGTTTTTTTGCCACATGTGATCTGGAAGAGTGGGTTTTGGCTGAGGGTGTAGTAGTTCAGGGCCTTCTTGAAAGCATTCAGGATGACTGAGCCCACCAAGTTGATGTAGTTCTTGAAGCCAGAGATGCAGTCAAGGATGATCCAGCTGAGTTCCATCCCTGCAGCTGCTGGCACAACTTCATAGACATTCTCCCACTGCCAGTGCTCAACAAGGTTCCAGACCACAACTCTGTGGTTACAATCAATGGCCTCTGGAAGGTTAAAAGTTAGTACCCAAAAAAACCAATGCGCATCAGGAATTGCAAATAGCCTAAAAACTGAATGGCCATGAGTGCAGCTAAAACGAAGTGGTGTGGGAAGTAATACCAAACTCATCAACATTGTTTCAGTCAAGGCGCTCATCTTCATTGAGAAATCTAACAATGAAGGGCTTGGTTGTGAGACACCCTCCATCCACAACAGCAAGTGACAAATTCCTGGAACTGTCACTGGGCAATGCCATTCTGATGGCAGTGCAGGCGGTTAACAAGTGAAAGCATCTACACATTGCCAGAATGAAAAGAGGAGTTGTACCAAAGATGGTGCAGTTCTGAATGTCAAGGTGGCGTGATGTGGGTTGAACCCAGGTATGGTGCAAAGTTGAAGGGTTGATGCAATTGAGCTGCTCCTTCTGCTGGCAAATTGCTTGGTTGTTGCAGGTCACCCAAAGGCTGGTGCTGACAATGTTGGGGTTGGACTGAAGTGATCATAAATTCAGGAGCATATGAATTTTTGTTTCTGAATAGTAAGGTTGAGGTCAGCAACACAAACTGTTAGAGAACATGGTTCTCACAGGTTGAAAATAAAACTGATGTGCATTGGGAAAAGAGTCACAAATAAAAAAACCTGATGCGCATTGGGAAAAGAGTTGACAAATAAAAAACCTGATGTGCATCAGGAAAAGAGTCAACAAATAAAAAACCTGATGTGCATCAGGAAAAGAGTCCACAAATAAAAAAACCAATGTGCATCAGTTTGGAACTTGTCAGTGTGGTGAACAGTAAAAACACACAAAGTGTACATACCTAGCTCCAGGTCAGGCAGGGCAAGTAGACTGGTGGCCTCCTTGTGTTGCTCTTCAGTGTTGCCTGCAGAGTACTGGCGCACCACTGGCTGCTTGTGAGGCTTGGTCTTGATCTCCTCCACCTCCATCTCCTTGTCCATGTCAATCACCTCTGGGCATGTGCATTTCCTCTCCTTGCACTCTTCCTCTACCAGCTTGTGCTTCCTTGGCAGTGCTTGGTGCTCCTCCTCCTCCAGCTCCTCCACCTCCACCTCCTCCTCCTGCTCCTCCTCTCCCTTCTCCTCCTCTTTCTCCTCCTCCACTATGTCCTCCTCCAGCTCCTACCCCCTTCTCCTCCTCCTTCTGCTCCTCCCCCTGCTTCTCCTCCTCCTCCTTCTCCTCCTCCTCCAGCTCCTTCTCCTGCTCTTCCTCCCCCTCTGCCTCCTTTTCCTTCCTCTCCTCCTCCTCCTCCTCTTCCATGTCCATTGGCTCTTTCACTCCCTCCTCTACTATCATTGGTGTACACTGTGTTAGCAGTTTGAGAGACTGCTGCTTTGTGGAGCCAGTGTCTTGGCCCTGTGCCTGCAGCAACCCATTGATGTACACCTTGGTGATAACCTTGGTGTTGGGTTGCTGGTGCACCTTCACTAGGGCATTATGGGAGCTTGCTAGAAGCTTGGTGGCTGACATGGCTGAGAAGTTGGGAAGGCTGGAGGCAGCTTGGCAAGAAGACATTGAAAGGAAGTGTGTGTTGAATGTGGGTGGTACAACAAAATGATCAAAACAGGTTGTTTGATGTTTTATAGGTAGTGCAGGTCTACAAAAAAGCTGTCCACATTAAATTCTAATTGGAGGAACAGGAAACAGGTGGCGAAATTTCATGTGGTCTGGAGAGCTTTGAGATGTTCCTGATGTGCATTGGGTTTGTTATTTGTTGACTTGCTTCCTGATGTGCATTGGGTTTTTTATTTGTTGACTCTTATCCCAATGCGCATTGGTTTTATTTTGTTGTCCTGTTTCCCAATGGTGTTGGGTTTTTAAAGTTGTCCCATGTTTTCCTCAACTCCACTGTTATTAGTTGTGAGCTCATTGGTCTGGAGTTCCAGAAACACAATGTTCACCAATCCAGAAAAACCACATCTATCTGTTATGTGGCCATTGGGAATTGGAGGTATCACACCAAATGTTTAAATACCTCTCCAGTGTCATTCAGTTGTTCTCCACCTCAATGAGCCACTCTCTCCCCACCAACACAGAGGTCCTTGCCTCTACCCTACTATCCCCAATCTTTGGCCAGTCCTTATGAGCCACAGCTCATACTCCAAGAAAGAGAGTTCTCTGAACTGCTGAAGAGTGGATCCCCAAAAAGCATCACCTGCTTGTCAGCAATGATCACATCAATACTGTTCTTGCATCATTCTGTTGTTGTAAGAAATGCCTTGATAACTTCTCCTTTGCTGACATTCTCAACATCACACAACCCTTTGCAGATCTCAATGAACATGATCGCACCACCTACATCATCAACATCATGTCAGCCAGCTGTGTCTCAACACTACCTGAGTGCCACTTCAAGTTGCAACTCAATGGTTCTCCAGTGTGTTTGAATGCTTTCCAAAAGGTGCCAACCCTTTTTATTGCAGCCTTACATTTGTTATCCCACCTCACATTGCTGCTCTACAAGGCACATGGTTTCAGCAGGAAGAAGTGGCGTTCTGCTAAACAGATTTTCATTTCTGGTGGGTGTGTCCCAATACACAACACCACTGGACAGCAATGTCCCTCAAATGCCACCTCAAATA